CCTTCACACACAGCTCTCTCCCTCAACCACAGCTCTCCTTCATCCACAGTTCCATCCTTCATCCACAGCTCCCTCCTCCATCCACAACTCCCTCCTTCATCCACAACTCCCTCCTTCATCCACAGCTCCCTCCTTCATCCACAGCTCCCTCCTTCATCCACAGCTCCCTCCTTCATCCACAGCTCCCTCCTTCATCCACAGCTCCCTCCTTCATCCACAGCTCCCTCCTTCATCCACAGCTCCCTCCTTCATCCACAGCTCCCTCCTTCATCCACAGCTCCCTCCTTCATCCACAGCTCCCTCCTTCATCCACAGCTCCCTCCTTCATCCACAGCTCCCTCCTTCATCCACAGCTCCCTCCTTCATCCACAGCTCGCTCCTTCATCCACAGCTCGCTCCTTCATCCACAGCACTCTCCTTCATCCACAGCTCTCTCCTTCATCCACAGCTCCCTCCTTCACACACAGCTCTCTCCTTCACACACAGCTCCCTCCTTCATCCACAGCTCTCTCCTCCATCCACAGCTCTCTCCTCCATCCACAGCTCTCTCCTTCACACACAGCTCTCTCCTTCACACACAGCTCCCTCCTTCACACACAGCTCCCTCCTTCACCCACAGCTCCCTCCTTCATCCACAGCTCCCTCCTTCATCCACAGCTCCCTCCTTCATCCACAGCTCCCTCCTTCATCCACAGCTCCCTCCTTCATCCACAGCTCTCTCCTTCATCCACAGCTCCCTCCTTCATCCACAGCTCCCTCCTTCATCCACAGCTCCCTCCTTCATCCACAGCTCCCTCCTTCATCCACAGCTCCCTCCTTCATCCACAGCTCCCTCCTTCATCCACAGCTCCCTCCTTCATCCACAGCTCTCCTTCATCCACAGCTCCCTCCTTCATCCACAGCTCTCCCCTGCATCCACAGCTCCCTCCTTCATCCACAGCTCCCTCCTTCATCCACAGCTCCCTCCTTCACACACAGCTCCCTCCTTCACACACAGATCTCTCCTTCATCCATAGCTCTCTCCTTCATCCACAGCTCCCTCCTCCATCCACAACTCCCTCCTTCATCCACAGCTCTCCTTCATCCACAGCTCCCTCCTTCATCCACAGCTCTCCCCTTCATCCACAGCTCCCTCCTTCATCCACAGCTCCCTCCTTCATCCACAGCTCCCTCCTTCACACACAGCTCCCTCCTTCACACACAGATCTCTCCTTCATCCACAGCTCTCTCCTTCATCCACAGCTCTCCTTCATCCACAGCTCCCTCCTCCATCCACAACTCCCTCCATCCACAGCTCCCTCCTTCATCCACAGCTCTCTCTTTCATCCACAGCTCCCTCCTTCATCCACAGCTCCCTCCTTCATCCACAGCTCTCTCCTTCATCCACAGCTCCCTCCTTCACACACAGCTCTCTCCTTCACACACAGCTCCCTCCTTCGCACACAGCTCCTTCCTTCATCCACAGCTCTCTCCTCCATCCACAGCTCTCTCCTTCATCCACAGCTCCATCCTTCACACACAGCTCTCCTTCATCCACAGCTCCCTGCTTCATCCACAGCTCCCTCCTTCATCCACAGCTCTCTCCTCCATCCACAGCTCTCTCCTTCATCCACAGCTCCCTGCATCATCCACAGCTCTCTCCTTCATCCACAGCTCCCTCCTTCACACACAGCTCTCTCCTTCATCCACAGCTCCCTCCATCCTCAGCTCTCTCCTTCATTCACAGCTCCCTCCTTCCCACACAGCTCCCTCCTTTACACACAGCTCTCTCCTTCATCCACAGCTCTCTCCTTCATCCACAGCTCCCTCCTTCACACACAGCTCTCTCCTCCATCCACAGCTCCCTCCTTCATCCACAGCTCCCTCCTTCGTCCACAGCTCCCTCCATCCACAGCTCTCTCCTTCATCTACAGCTCCCTCCACCCACGTTTTTTTAATGACAAGCTTTCTTTGAACTCACTGTCTGTTGTTGTATCCTCAAATCTTGTAACAAGTTTAACCCACTTCCCAGTGTGGTATCGACTGCAAACTTGGTATACTTATGTCACACCGATGACAACACTATATTCTATCATAAATATTTTTTAAACAATCTTTTTTTTAACACGTTACGTTTCGGCTTGGGTCCAATTGTCCACGCTCAACCGACGTTGGCTGTAACTGGCCACGGTCCCCTTACGTTGTGGCAAGCCTCGGGGCCACTTCAAATAGTGGTATCCCAAACTTTCGCAGCTCTTAAATTCCCTTTTCACACCAATAGATAAACTCTCCCTCCCCCCCCGTGCCAACCGGCATGTGAACCCGCATGTACACCACCTCTATGCTAAGTCGGCCAATCAAATGCTAATTTTTACGCTAATTCCTTTGTCAAGGCGCCTTGTTTCCTCGCACACAGCTTAAAGGTCCGCGGATCTGAGCGTGGCTGTGTTTCACTCCAGCGCTGTCCTCGAGACAGCCTGGTCCCTTCACCTGATGAAGGCCGCTTGTGTTGTGGCCGAAATGTCGTGATTTTTTTTTTTTTACCTACGTGACTTTACCGAATAGAACCAAAGAGTATAGCAGGGTTAACATTCCATGAAAGCGTGTTTAAAAAAAAAAAAACTTATTTCTGGCTGGGTTAGCACGAGTAACGGGGGCAACTCTTCCTCCACCGCCAACACACATGGGGGGATGGTGGTGGGGTGGATGGGGGGGCAGGGTGGTGTACCTGCAGAGTCGGATAAAATTTCAATCAACCGAAAAACCTCCTCATAATTTTATTCTACAATCATGACGACGGGTCCATAAGCGAGGGTTTGCGTTGGGTTACATCGCGTGGATATGTGAGTGTGTCGTTAAACCCGCCACCACCCGACACAGCCAACCGGTGACGGTCGTCACAATCAGGACGTGTTCATCCGTCACTGGCACAGCAACTCTGGCGGTTGAAGCTGGTTGTGATCGCTGGCGAGACGTCGCGGTAAACGGTGCGGCTTGCAGTGTGTAGCGTAGTGTATCGTGCGATGTATAGTGTCGTGTATGATGTAGTGTACTAGTGCAACACTACACCGCCTCTGTTGGAGATGTAGTGCTGTACTAGTATACATTATACACTGCGCTATACACTGCACTATACACTGCACTATACACTACACTATACACTACACTATACAATACACTACTCTATACACTACACTACTCTATACACTACACACTACTCTATACACTGCGCTATACACTACACACTACTCTATACACTGCGCTATACACTACTCTATACACTATTCTACACACTACTCTATACACTATTCTACACACTACTCTACACACTACTCTATACACTACACAGCACTATACACTACACTGATGCGACTTTGCTCTCAAACACAAGCGGCGTGTGCTGCGCTAGTGACGACTTGGCCGAGTTCTGTTTACGCGACGCTAAAGCTTACCAGTTGGCTTTGGTCGGGTGGTGGCGGGTTTCACGACACTCGCATATTTACGCGATCTCACCCAAACGAAAATAAAAAAAACAACACACACAACCCCTATCGTGGATGATATGGGCGACGAAAGCCCAACGTGTTAAAATGTTAATAGGCAATTCATACTCGAATTACCTAGAAACACCACACACACACACATCGTTGACGAGACGCACACGAGACAAGACTCGCACAACGCACCACACACACGCACACACACGCCCGAGCTGGACACTCCACACACGCGCGAGCTGGACACTCCACACACAGCACACTGGACACACCACACACAGCACACTGGACACTCCACACACAGCACACTCCACACACAGCACACTGGACACACCACTACCAGACACCCCGGTGGCAAGCCTGCGTGCTCACGGTCGTTGGTCACGGGTGGCTGAACAGCGGGACTCAACATCCATTCCGCACCGGCTCAGTGGACGCATCATCATCATCATAATCGTCGCGCAACCATCGAATCGACGGACACACACACAGAAAGACAGACATAGAAAAAAGACAGAGAGAGAAAGACAAAGAGAGAGAGCGAAAGACTCCGGCAACAGCCGCACACAATCTCGTCTGCAGCGAATCATTATTTCCCCCCCCTCCACAAAAGCGCACGGACCACGGACCTTGCCAGGCACGCAGAGTGCGGCGTCGACCACCACCACCACCATCGCCCACCCGCTCGCTCGCTCGGTGAGCCAACTCATCCAAGCAGAAGCAGCAGCAGCAGGCTTCGACGTCGTTACCGACAACAGTCACAAGAAAGTTCTCGCACATTTGCAATCCACCAAGCCTGCCCCAGACCCCACCGTAGCCTTTGATAGACCGCTGGGGGCAAGTGCTGTTAGCAGCGAGTAGCAGCAGCAGCAGCGCCTATGAAAGAGACACAGACAAAGGTCCCCCGTGTAGCCTCGATAAGATGCCGGGCCGAGTGCTGTTAGAGGCAGCAGCGCCAATGAAGGAGGCAGAGATCCCCCGTGTAGCCTCTAGCGGGCTGTAGGGGCAAGTGCTGTCAGTGGCGAGCACCCACCAAGACCGGCACTGTGGCACACGAGGAGGGATGGGGGTGGCGAGCACCACACCCGACCCGCCTTGGTCTCCCACCCAGTGGCGCAGCGGTGTCTGTGTCTCTGTGTGTATGTGTGTGTATCTGTGTGTCTCTGTGCGTCTCTGTGTGTGTGTCTGGCGACCCGAGTTCGATTCCCGCTCGCGGCCACCAAAAACACCAGTGTGTAAGTGTACCTGTGTGTGTGTACCTGTGTGTGTATACCTGTGTGTACGTATACCTGTGTGTACGTGTACCTGTGTGTGTACGTGTACCAGTGTGTGTACCTGTGTGTGCGTGTACCTGTGTGTGCACCTGTGTGTGTGTGTACCTGTGTGTGTAAGCGTGTACCTGTGTGTGTACCTGTGTGTGTACACCTGTGTGTGTACGCGTGTACCTGTGTGTGTACCTGTGTGTGTGTACCTGTGTGTATGTACCTGTGTGTGTGTGTGTACCTGTGTGTGTAAGTGTGCCAGGGACACGCTGATCGTGGCGCTGGCGGTACTGTAGCTGTTCGCGCTGCGCTACGAACCCGGCGAACCCGAGTTCCAATCCCGCTCTCGGCCAACACCGCCAGTGACGATTATCCGAACCGGACCTGGGCCTCCCCTAGGGTCGACCCGGCCACGAACGAGCGCCGGGCGTGGCGGTGCGTAAACGTCGCCACTGGGGGAGACAAAGGCGGACGGGCGGGCGCGGTGTTTGGGCCACCCAGCCCCTCGTGTGCGCCGCGGCCGCTCGCTAGGCCAGCACCCGACCCTACACATTCTGTTCGGGCTATACGGGGGATCTTTGTCCTTTGTGTGCACCTAGCCTGGCACAGTGTGCGTGCGGGACACAGCTGGTGGCGCATCGGGCCGGTCGTCTTGGTCAGCCGACCCGTGGCACCCGCTGGGTCTGCACCCGTGACCTCCTGCACCTAGCCTGGCACAGCGTTTGGAACAGCTGGTGCATCGGTCAGTCATCTCAGTCAGTCAACCCGTGGCACCTGCTGGGTCTGCACCCGTGATCACCTGCACCTAGCCTGGCACAGCGTTTGTGGCACAGCTGGTGCATCGGTCAGTCATCTCAGTCGACCCGTGCCACCCGCTGGGTCTGCCCCCGTGACCTCCTGCCGGCAGGGGGTGTTCGACGCTTCACGTGGTGGCCTCAAGGTGCACCTAGCCTGGCACAGGGGCCGACACTGCCACTTAGCGGCGGTTGTTGTTGTTGTGTACGTAGTTGTTGTTGTGTACGTAGTTGTTGTTGTGCACGTTGTTGTTGTGTTGTTGTGTACGTAGTTGTTGGTGTGTTGTTGTGTACGTAGTTGTTGTTGTGCACGTTGTTGTTGTGTACGTTGTTGTTGTGCACGTTGTTGTTGTGCACGTTGTTGTTGTGTACGTAGTTGTTGTTGTGTACGTTGTTGTTGTGCACGTTGTTGTGCACGTTGTTGTGTACGTAGTTGTTGTGTACGTTGTTGTTGTGCACGTTGTTATTGTGCACGTTGTTGTTGTTGTTGTGCACTTTTTGTTGTTGCTGTGCACGTTGTTGTTGTGCACGTTTTTGTTGTTGTTGTGTACGATGTTGTGCACGTTGTTGTTGTGTACGTTGTTGTTGTGCACGTTGTTGTTGTTGTGTTGTTGTGCACGTTGTTGTGCACGTTGTTGTGCACGTTGTTGTGCACGTTGTTGTTGTTGTGTTGTTGTTGTGCACGTTGTTGTTGTGTACGTTGTTGTGCACGTTGTTGTTGTGCACGTAGTTGTTGTGTACGTTGTTGTTGTTGTGCACGTAGTTGTTGTGTACGTTGTTGTTGTTGTGCACGTTGTTGTTGTTGTTGTTGTGCACGTTGTTGTGCACGTTGTTGTTGTGCACGTTGTTGTTGTTTTGTGCACGTTGTTGGTGTGCACGTTGTTGTTGTGCACGTTGTTGTTGTGTTGTTGTTGTGCACGTTGTTGTTGTTGTGCACGTTGTTGTTGTTGTGTTGTTGTTGTGCACGTTGTTGTTGTTGTGTACGTTGTTGTTGTTGTGCACGTTGTTGTTGTTGTGCACGTTGTTGTTGTGCACATTGTTGTTGTTGTGTACACGTTGTTGTTGTGCACGTTGTTGTTGTTTACGTAGTTGTTGTGCAAGTTGTTGCTGTTGTGCACGTTGTTGTTGTGTACACGTGTAACGTTGTTGTTGTGCACGTTGTTGTTTATGTAGTTGTTGTTGTGTACGTTGCTGTTGTTGTGCAAGTTGTTGTTGTGTACGTTGTTGTTATTGTTGTGTACATTGTTGTTGTGTACACGTGTAACGTTGCTGTTGTGTACACGTTGTTGTGTACACGTTGTTGTTGTTGTGTACACGTAGTTGTTGTGTACACGTGTAACGTAGTTGTTGTGTACACGTAGTTGTTGTGTACACGTAGTAGTTGTGTACACGTAGTTGTTGTGTACACGTGTAACGTAGTTGTTGTGTACAGTGTTGTTGTGTACACGTAGTTGTAGTTGTGTACACGTGTACACGATGTAGTTGTGTACACGTGTACACGATGTTGTTGTGTACACGTGTACACGATGTTGTTGTGTACACGTGTACACGATGTTGTTGTGTACACGTGTACACGATGTTGTAGTTGTGTACACGTGTAACGGCCTTCGCACCGCCGTAACGCAGCAAGCCAAACCGCGCTCGTCGGAGGAAGGACAACAACACAACAACACACAACAACATCATCACAACATCACACAACAACATCACACTAACGCACAACACCACACTAACACACAACATCACACAACATCATCACAACATCACACTAACACACAACATCACACAACAACATCACAACAACACTAACACACAACATCACACAACAACATCACAACAACACTAACACACAACATCACACAACATCATCACAACACACAACAACAACAACACGAACACACAACAACACGAACACACAACAACACTAACACACCACACAACAACACACCACAACAACAACATCACAACAACACACAACAACAACACTAACACAACAACAACAACCACACCACCACCACCAAGTCCGGCACGGCACTCGGCGGTAGTGCCGCTGGTGGTCTTCCCACCGGTTGCCGAGCGGCGCCGCTCCAACGAGCAACTCGCAATTTTGCCCCCCCGGGGGGAAGGGGGCCCGAGCAGGGCCAGGGGCCACGGGCTGACGGGGCCACGGCGACGTCGCCGTGACGACGCCGTCGCCGTGACGACGCCGTCGCCGTGACGACGCCGCCGCCACAACAACGTCGCCGTGACGACGCCGTCGCCGTGACGACGCCGTCGCCGTGACGACGCCGTCGCCGTGACGACGCTACAAGGGCGGCACGGGCGAGCAGGCCGCCAGCAGCCCCGAGTGGCCCAGCCCGAGGAGTCGCCGCTTCTTGCCTCCTCCTCCTCCTCCACTGCCTCCGCTGCCTCCGCCATCGCCGCCATCGCCGCCGCCATCGCCGTGGAGCTCTTGGGCGGGGCTGGCGTTGGTGAGCAGAGACGTCCTGAGCGAGGGGTCCAACAGCGCCGACAACAGCCCAGTGTCGCCCATCTCCTTGAGCACCTGCGGGAGACGGTGGTGGTGGGGAGACGGTGGTGGTGGTGAGGGTGGTGGTGAGGGTGGTGGCGAGGGTGGTAGCGAGGGTGGTGGTGGTGAGGGTGGTGGTGGTGGTGAGGGTGGTGGCGAGGGTGGGTGAGGGTGATGGTGGTGGTGAGGGTGGGTGAGGGTGGTGGTGAGGGTGGTGGTGGTGAGGGTGGTGGTGAGGGCGGTGGGCGACGGTGGGAGACGGTGGCGAGGGTGGTGGTGAGGGTGATGGCGAGGGTGGTGGTGGTGGTGAGGGTGGGTGAGGGTGGTGGCGAGGGTGGGTGAGGGTGATGGTGGTGGTGAGGGTGGGTGAGGGTGGTGGTGAGGGTGGGTGAGGGTGGTGGTGGTGGTGAGGGTGGTGGTGAGGGTGGTGGTGAGGGTGGGAGACGGTGGTGAGGGTGGTGGGTGAGGGCAGTGGGCGACGGTGGGAGACGGTGGCGAGGGTGGTGGTGAGGGCAGTGGGCGAGGGTGGTGGTGGTGGTGAGGGTGGTGGTGGTGAGGGTGGTGGTGAGGGTGGTGGTGGTGAGGGTGGTGGTGAGGGTGATGGTGAGGGTGGGTGAGGGTGGTGGTGAGGGTGGTGGTGGTGAGGGTGGTGGTGAGGGTGGTGGTGGTGAGGGTGGTGGTGAGGGTGGTGGTGAGGGTGGTGGTGGTGGTGAGGGTGGTGGCGAGGGTGGTGGTGGTGAGGGTGGGTGAGGGTGGTGGCGAGGGTGGGTGAGGGTGATGGTGATGGTGAGGGTGGGTGAGGGTGGTGGTGAGGGTGGTGGTGAGGGTGGGTGAGGGTGATGGTGGTGGTGAGGGTGGTGGTGGTGAGGGTGGTGGTGAGGGTGGGAGACGGTGGTGAGGGTGGTGGTGAGGGTGATGGCGAGGGTGGTGAGGGTGGTGAGGGTGGTGAGGGTGGTGGTGGTGAGGGTGGTGGTGAGGGTGATGGCGAGGGTGGTAGCGAGGGTGGTGGTGAGGGTGGGTGAGGGCGACGGCGGGAAGACGGCGGCGATGGCGTCGACGCCCCACCTGCGGAGACGGAGCGACGTCGGGCGCCATGAAGAACGACTCCCCGGGAGGGCGGGCCACTCCGCTGGGCTCATCCCTCTTGAAGGAGCCGTCGGAGGATGAAGACGTCTCCAGCTTCCCGGACGCCATCTTCCCTCCCTGGGCACACGGCGTACGTTCAGACTCTCGGCCAGAGGCGGAGAGGGGCCCGCTCCACGACCGGGTTCACCGGGACCGGGTTCACCGGGACCGGGTTCACCGGGACCGGGTTCACCGGGACCGGGTTCACCGGGACCGGGTTCACCGGGACCGGGTTCACCGGGACCGGGTTCACCGCGTACCGGTTCACCGCGACCGAGGAGTGTTTGTGTCGGCCCGTAGCAGCAGCAGCAGCAGCAGATTGTGTTCTCCCGCCCCCCTAGAAACTTAAAAGAACCCCCGCCTCTTCTCACCTAGCCCAGCATCATCGCCATCATCATTACCATCGCCATCATCATTACCATCGCCATCATCATTACTATCATCATCATCATTACTATCACCATCATCATTACCATCATCATCATCATTACTATCACCATCATCATTACCATCATCATTACCATCATCACCATCATCATCACCATCATCATTACCATCATCATCATCATTACCATCATCATCATTACCATCATCATCATCATTACCATCATCATTACCATCATCATTATTACCATCACCATCATTACAATCACCATCATCATTACCATCACCATCATCATCACCATCATCATCACCATCATCATTACCATCATTACCATCACCATCATCATTACCATCACCATCATCATTACCATTACCATCATCAGTACCATCACCATTACCATCATTACCATCACCATCATCATTACCATCACCATTACCATCACCATCATCATTACCATCACCATCATCATTACCATCATCATCACCATCATCATTAACATCACCATCACCGTTACCATCATCATCACCGTCACCATCACCATCATTACCATTACCATCACCATTACCATCACCATCATCATTACCATCACCATCATCATTACCATCACCATCATCATTACCATCACCATCATCCTGCTGCTATTCACTAAGCCCCTCCAGCGACGACCAGGCCTATCGCGACCCCAATCACTACCCCAACCCCTATCACCACCTCAACCCCTATCACCACCCCAACCCCTATCACCACCCCAACCCCTACCACCACCCCAACCCCTACCACCACACCAACCCCTATCACCACCCCAACCCCTACCATCACCCCAACCCCTATCACCACCCCAACCCCTATCACCACCCCAACCCCTATCACCACCCCAACCCCTATCACCACCCCAACCCCTACCACCACCCCAAACCCTACCACCACCCCAAACCCTATCACCACCCAACCCCTATCACCACCCCAACCCCTACCACCACCCCAACCCCTATCACCACCCCAACCCCTACCACCACCCCAACCCCTACCACCACCCCAACCCCTACCACCACCCCAACCCCTACCACCACCCCAACCCCTACCACCACCCCAACCCCTACCACCCCCCCAACCCCTACCACCACCCCAACCCCTACCACCACCCCCCCCCGATAACTACCCCCCAAACCCCCTGTTTGCCCCACGCTGCACCCGCCGCCCCAGCTGCCCCCGCTGCCCCAGCTGCACCCGCTGCCCCCGCTGCACCCGCTGCCCCAGCTGCACCCGCTGCAGCTGCACCCGCTGCCCCCGCTGCCCCCGCTGCCCCAGCTGCACCCGCTGCCCCAGCTGCCCCCGCCGCCCCAGCTGCACCCGCTGCCCCAGCTGCCCCCGCTGCCACAGCTGCACCCGCCTCACCGCGTCGCTGCGGTTCCGGCACTTGTCGTGGTCGCAGCCGCAGCGCCACGCGGCACACTCCAGGCCGGCTCGCAGACACCCGCACAGCCGGTTCACACAGCGCCCACCACAACGGCACTGCACAGCACAAAGACGGCACCACCACCACCATCACCACCACCACCACCACCACCACCGCCACCCCGGCACCCCCCAAAACACACGCTTAGGATGGCCTCGACGGACGGCTTGGGGCCAAGCGCTGTTAGCCGGTAGCAGCGGTAGTAGCGGCGGTAGCAGCAGTAGTAGCAGTAGTAGTAGCAGTAGTAGTAGTAGCGGTAGTAGCAGTAGTAGTAGCAGTAGTAGCAGCAGCAGTAGCAGCAGCAACAGTAGTAGTAGCAGTAGCAGCAGTAGTAGTAGCAGTAGTAGCGGCAGTAGTAGCGGCGGTAGCAGCAGTAGTAGCAGTAGTAGTAGCAATAGCAGCAGCGGTAGTAGCAGCAGCAGCAGTAACAGCAGTAGTAGTAGCAGTAGTAACAGCAGTAGTAACAGCAGTAGTAGCAGCAGTAGTAGTAGCAGTAGTAGCAGTAGCAGCAGTAGTAGCAACATTAGTAGTAGCAGCAGTAGTAGCAGCAGTAGTAGCAGCAGTAGTAGTAGTAGCAGCAGTAGCAGCAGCAGTAGTAGCAGTAGCAGCAGTAGCAGCAGCAGCAGTAGTAGCAGTAGCAGCAGTAGTAGCAGCAGCAGTAGCAGCAGCAGCAGTAGCAGCAGTAGTAGTAGCAGCAGTAGTAGCACTAGTAGTAGTAGCAGCAGCAGCAGTAGCAGCAGTAGTAGTAGCAGTAGTAGCAGCAGTAGCAGCGAACGTGCGTGTATGTGCGTGTATGTGCGTGCATGTACGTGTGTGTGTGCGTGTGTACGTGCGTGTGTGTACGTGCGTGTACGTGTACATGTGTGCGTGTACGTGCGTGTATGTGCATGCACGTGTGCGAGTGGGCACGTGCGTGCACATGCGTGTACGTGCGTGCACGTGCGTGTATGTGCGTGCATGTACGTGCGTGTGTGTGTGTGCGTGCGTGTGTGCGTGTGTGTGTACGCGTGTGTGTCTGTGTGTGTGTACGTGTGTGTGTCTGTGTGTGTGTGTACGTGCGTGTGTGTACGCGTGTGTGTACGTGTGTGTACGTGTGTGTGTGCACGTGCGTGCGTGCGGTCACCCCAGCGGCCGTGGAGCTCTTGCTGCGTCGCTGCAGCGAGGGCCTCGGGGCCACCGCGCCGCCCGGCTGCCAGTCGGCGTCCACCGGCCCGCCGTCAGAGTCCGACGTCTCCGTCTCCGACAGGATGTGCGACAGGGACACGAGCGGCCGGGCGGGGGCGGAGGGGCGCCGTTGCTTCGCCGTGCTCTTCTGCGTCGCGAACAAAATGGCGAAGGTCACCCAACCACCACGCCGTGTAGCCTCTCTAGCAGGCTGTAGGGGCAAGTGTTGGTAGTAGCGAGTAGACAAAGGTCCCCCGTGTAGCCTCTAGCAGGCTGTAGGGGGCAAGTGCTGTTAGTAGTAGCGAGTCACAGCAGCAGTGTCTATGAAGGTAGACACAGACAAAGGTCCCCCCCCGTGTAGCCTCTAGCAGGCTGTAGGGGCAAGTGTTGGTAGTAGCGAGTAGACAAAGGTCCCCCGTGTAGCCTCTAGCAGGCTGTAGGGGCAAGTGCTGTTAGTAGTAGCGAGTAGCAGCGTCTATGAAGGTAGACACAGATAAAGGTCCCCCGTGTAGCCTCTCTAGCAGGCTGTAGGGGGCAAGTGTTGGTAGTAGTAGCGAGTAGCAGCAGCGTCTATGAAGGTAGACACAGACAAAGGTCCCCCGTGTAGCCTCTAGCAGGCTGTAGGGGCAAGTGCTGTTAGTAGCGAGTAGCAGCAGCGTCTATGAAGGTAGACACAGACAAAGGTCCCCCGTGTAGCCTCTAGCAGGCTGTAGGGGCAAGTGCTGTTAGTAGCGAGTAGACAAAGGTCCCCCGTGTAGCCTCTAGCAGGCTGTAGGGGCAAGTGCTGTTAGTAGTAGCGAGTAGCAGAAGCAGCGTCTATGAAGGTAGACACAGACAAAGGTCCCCCGTGTAGCCTCTCTAGCAGGCAGTAGGGGCAAGTGCTGTTAGGAGCGAGTAGCAGCAGCAGCGTCTATGAAGGTAGACACAGACAAAGGTCCCCCATGTAGCCTCTAGCAGGCTGTAGGGGCAAGTGCTGTTAGGAGCGAGTAGCAGCAGCAGCGTCTATGAAGGTAGACACAGACAAAGGTCCCCCGTGTAGCCTCTAGCAGGCTGTAGGGGCAAGTGTTGGTAGTAGCGAGTAGCAGCAGCAGCGTCTATGAAGGTAGACACAGACAAAGGTCCCCCGTGTAGCCTCTAGCAGGCTGTAGGGGCAAGTGCTGTTAGTAGCAGCAGCAGTGTCTATGAAGATAGACACAAAGGTCTCCCGTGTAGCCTCTAGCAGGCTGTAGGGGCAAGTGCTGTTAGTAGCGAGTAGCAGCAGCAGCGTCTATGAAGGTAGACACAGACAAAGGTCTCCCGTGTAGCCTCTAGCAGGCTGCAGGGGCAAGTGCTGTTAGCAGCAGCGTCTATGAAGGTAGACACAGACAAAGGTCCCCCGTGTAGCCTCTAGCAGACTGTAGGGGCAAGTGCTGTTAGTAGCGAGTAGCAGCAGCAGTGTCTATGAAGGTAGACACAGACAAAGGTCTCCCGTGTAGCCTCTAGCAGGCTGTAGGGGCAAGTGCTGTTAGCAGCAGCAGCGTCTATGAAGGTAGACACAGACAAAGGTCCCCCGTGTAGCCTCTAGCAGGCTGTAGGGGCAAGTGCTGTTAGCGGCAGCAGCGTCTATGAAGGTAGACACAGACAAAGGACCCCCGTGTAGCCTCTAGCAGGCTGTAGGGGCAAGTGCTGCTAGCCATCGCCGCCGCCACTACCACCTCCACCACTGTCCCTACTACCTCCCCTACAACCGCAACCACCACCGTCCCTACTACCTCCACTACAACCACCACTTCAACTACAACCACCACCGTCCCTACTACCTCCACTACAACCACCACCTCAACTACAACCACCACCATCCCTACTACCTACACTACAACAACCTCCACCACCACCACCGTCCGTACAACCACCACCACCAACCCTACTACCTCCCCTACAACCACCTCCACCATGATCGTCCCTGCTACCTCGACTACAACCACAACCGTCCCTACTACCTCCACTACAACCACCACCACCTCAACTACAACCACCACCACCACCACCACCATCCCAACTACCTACACTACAACCACCTTCACCACCACCACCACCGTCCCTACTACCTCCCCGACAACCACTACCACCGTCCCTACAACCACCTCCACCACCATCGTCCCTGCTACCTCGACTACAACCACAACCACCACCGTCCCTACTACCTCCACTACAACCACCGCCACCACCACCACCACCACCACCGCCACCACCACCGCCACCACCGCGTGTGTGCGAGTCTCGCGCACCCTGGGGAGCACAAACTCTAAGGAAGAGTCGGGGGAGGCTGCACGTGGCCCCGTCTGCTCTCCTGCAGCGCCCAGTGCAGCAGGTAGCCGCTTCTTGGTCCTTTGCACCTGCTGCACCTTCTGCGATGAAAAGGGGGCGGCGGGATGAGAATAATTAAAATAACGACCGCAGTTTGTAGGTCGGTGTGAATATACAACCATCACTCACTCTGTAGAACAGGGGGAGATCATACAAACTCCACTCACTCTGTAGAACAGGAGGAGATCACACAAACTCCGCTCACGCTGTAGAACAGGGGGAGATCATACACACTCCACTCACTCGCTTTGCAGAACAGGGGGAGATCATACAAACTCCACTCACTCTGTAGAACAGGGGGAGATCATACAAACTTCACTCACTCTGTAGAACAGGGGGAGATCATACAAACTCCACTCACTCTGTAGAACAGGGGGAGATCATACAAACTCCACTCGCTCACTCTGTAGAACAGGGGGAGATCACACAATCTCCACTCACTCACTCTGTAGAACAGGGGGAGATCATACAAACTCCACTCACTCACTCTGTAGAAGAGGGGGAGATCATACAAACTCCACTCACTCACTCTGTAGAACAGGGGGAGATCACACAAACTCCACTCGCTCACTCTGTAGAACAGGGGGAGATCATACAAACTCCACTCACTCACTCTGTAGAAGAGGGGGAGATCATACAAACTCCACTCACTCACTCTGTAGAACAGGGGGAGATCACACAAACTCCACTCGCTCACTCTGTAGAACAGGGGGAGATCATACAAACTCTACTCACTCACTCTGTAGAACAGGAGGAGATCACACAAACTCCACTCACTCACTCTGCAGAACAGGGGGAGATCACACAAACTCCACTCACTCACTCTGCAGAACAGGGGGAGATCACACAAACTCCACTCACTCACTAGAACAGGGGGAGATCATACAAACTCCACTCGCTCACTCTGTAGAACAGGGGGAGATCATACAAACTCCACTCACTCACTCTGTAGAACAGGGGGATATCATACACACTCCACTCACTCGCTTTGCAGAACAGGGGGAGATCATACAAACTCCATTCACTCTGTAGAACAGGGGGAGATCATACAAACTCCACTCACTCTGTAGAACAGGGGGAGATCATACTAACTCCACTCGCTCACTATGTAAAACAGGGGGAGATCACACAAACTCCACTCACTCGCTCTGTAGAACAGGGGGAGATCATACAAACTCCACTCACTCACTCTGTAGAACAGGGGGAGATCACACAAACTCCACTCGCTCACTCTGTGTACGAGTGAGTGAGTGGGTGAACGTGTGAGTGAGTGTACGTGGCAGTGAGTGTACGTGTGATTGAGTGAGTGAACGTGTGAATGAGTGTACGTGTGAGTGAGTGTACGAGTGAGTGAACGTGTGAATGAGTGTACGTGTGAGTGTAGGAGTGAGTGAGTGTACGTGTGAGTGAGTGTTAGTGAGTGAGTGAACGTGTGAGTGAGTGTACGTGTGAGTGAGTGTACGAGCGAGTGCACGTGTGAGTGAGTGAGTGTACGTGTGAGTGAGTGAACGTGTGAATGAGTGTACGTGTGAGTGAGTGAGTGTACGAGTGAGTGTACGTGTGAGTGAGTGTCAGTGAGTGAGTGAGTGTATGTGTGAGTGAATGTATGAGTGAGTAAGTGTACGTGTGAGTGAGTGTACGAGTGAGTGAGTGTACGTGTGAGTGAGTGTACGAGTGAGTGAGTGTACGTGTGAGTGAGTGTACGTGTGAATGAGTGTACGAGCGAGTGTACGTGTGAGTGAGTGAGTGTACGTGTGAGTGAGTGTACGTGTGAATGAGTGTACGAGTGAGTGTACGTGTGAGTGAGTGTACGTGTGAGTGAGTGTACGTGTGAGTGAGTGTACGTGTGAGTGAGTGAGTGTACGTGTGAGTGAGTGAGTGTACGAGTGAGTGAGTGTACGTGTGAGTGAGTGAGTGTACGTGTGAGTGAGTGTACGAGTGAGTGTGAGTGAGTGTGAGTGAGTGTACATGTGAGTGAGTGTACATGTGAGTGAGTGTCAGTGAGTGTACGAGTGAGTGAGTGAGTGTACGTGTGAATGAGTGTACGAGCGAGTGTACGTGTGAGTGAGTGAGTGAGTGTATGTGTGAGTGAGTGTACGAGTGAGTGTACGTGTGAGTGAGTGTACGAGTGAGTGAGTGTACGAGTGAGTGAGTGAGTGAGTGTACGTGTGAGTGAGTGTACGAGTGAGTGCACGTGTGAGTGAGTGAGTGTACGTGTGAGTGAGTGAGTGTACGTGTGAATGAGTGTACGAGTGAGTGAGTGAGTGAGTGTACGTGTGAGTGAGTGTACGTGTGAGTGAGTGTACGTGTGAGTGAGTGTACGTGTGAATGAGTGTACGAGTGAGTGAGTGAGTGTACGTGTGAGTGAGTGTACGTGTGAGTGCGTGTCAGTGAGTGTACGAGTGAGTGCGTGTCAGTGAGTGTACGTGTGAGTGAGTGAGTGTACGTGTCAGTGAGTGTACGTGTGAGTGAGTGAGTGTACGTGTGAGTGAGTGTACGTGTGAGTGAGTGTACGTGTGAGTGAGTGTCAGTGAGTGTACGTGTGAGTGAGTGTACGAGTGAGTGAGTGTACGAGTGAGTGAGTGTACGTGTGAGTGAGTGTACGTGTGAGTGAGTGTACGTGTGAGTGAGTGAGTGTACGAGTGAGTGAGTGTACGAGTGAGTGAGTGTACGTGAGTGCGTGTACGTGTGAGTGAGTGTGAGTGAGTGTACGTGTGAGTGAGTGTACGTGTGAGTGAGTGTACGAGTGAGTGTACGTGTGAGTGAGTGTCAGTGAGTGTGAGTGAGTGTACGTGTGAGTGAGTGTCAGTGAGTGTGAGTGAGTGTACGTGTGAGTGAGTGTCAGTGAGTGTGAGTGAGTGTACGTGTGAGTGAGTGTACGTGTGAGTGAGTGTACGTGTGAGTGAGTGTACGTGTGAGTGAGTGAGTGTACGTGTGAGTGAGTGTACGTGTGAGTGAGTGTACGTGTGAGTGAGTGTACGAGTGAGTGTACGTGTGAGTGAGTGAGTGTCAGTGAGTGAGTGTATGTGTGAGTGAGTGTACGTGTCAGTGAGTGTACGTGTGAGTGAGTGTCAGTGAGTGTCCGTGTGAGTGAGTGTACGTGTGAGTGAGTGTACGTTTCAGTGAGTGTCAGTGAGTGAGTGAGTGTATGTGTGAGTGAGTGTACGAGTGAGTGAGTGTATGTGTGAGTGAGTGTACGTGTGAGTGAGTGTACGTGTGAGTGAGTGTACGTGTGAGTGAGTGAGTGTACGTGTGAGTGAGTGTACGTGTGAGTGAGTGTACGTGTGAGTGAGTGTACGAGTGAGTGAGTGTACGAGCGAGTGTACGTGTGAGTGAGTGAGTGTACGTGTGAGTGAGTGTACGAGCGAGTGTACGTGTGAGTGAGTGTACGTGTGAGTGAGTGTAGGTGTGAGTGAGTGAGTGAGTGTCCGTGTGAGTGAGTGTACGTGTCAGTGAGTGTCAGTGAGTGAGTGAGTGTATGTGTGAGTGAATGTACGTGTGAGTGAGTGCGTGTCAGTGAGTGCGTACTCCATACCTGTTGGAGTGATTTGTTCTCCGCACGGAGCTGAGCAATCTGTTCAAGCTGCTCCTTCTGCATCCAGCAGCATCAAGGGCAGAGCCGGTACCAACATCACGGCATCAACATCACAACATCACGGCATCAACATCACAGCACCGACGTCACAACATCAACTCCGAGCCGGTATTAACATCACATCACAGCCAACATCAACATCACAGCCGACATCAACATCACGACATCAACATCACGACATCAACATCACAGCCGACATCAACATCACAGCGCCAACATCACAACCCGGCATCAACATCACGACATCAACATCACAGCCGACATCAACATCACAGCGCCAACATCACAACCGACATCAACATCACAGCGCCAACATCACAACCCGGCATCAACATCACGACATCAACATCACAGTGCCAACATCAACATCACAGCGCCAACATCACAGCCGACATCAACATCACAACATCACAGCCGACATCAACATCACAACATCACAGCCGACATCACAGCCGGCATCAACATCACAGCCGACATCAACAACACGACATCAACATCACAGCGCCAACATCACAGCCCGGCGTCAACATCAAGCGCAAAAGATTCCCCGTACTGCAAGCGCTGTCGGCGAGCAGGAGCGCCTGTGAAGGCTACCGGCACTGTGGCACACTAGGGGGGTGGGCCGGCCAGCACCACGCGCCTGCCCGGCCGCCTTTGTCTCCCCGGTGCCGATGTCTAAACACGTCGCAACAGGTGCTCATTTGAGGCCGAGTCGACCCAGGGGAGGCCCAGCGAGAACCGATTCGGAAAATCGTCACCGGCTTTGTTGGCGGCCGTGAGCGGGAAGCGGAGTCTCGGCTCGCCGGGGTTTGGGAGCGCTAACCGCGGCGCCACCGCTCCCCCGCGTCACACAAAGCGACACACACACACACACACAGCTGAGAGGGCGGATGAGTAGTGAGGGTCGGTGAGAGGGCGAGTCGGTGAGCGAGTCGGTGAGCGAGCGAGTCGGTGATAGAGCGAGTTGGTGAGAGGGCGAGTCGGTGAGAGGGCGAGTTGGTGAGAGGGTCGGTGAGAGAGTCGGTGAGAGAGCGAGTCGGTGAGAGAGCGAGTCGGTGAGCGAGTCGGTGAGTGAGCGAGTCGGTGAGAGAGCGAGTCGGTGAGCGGGGCGAGTCGGTGAGAGGGGCGAGTCGGTGAGAGGGCGAGTCGGTGAGGGGGCGAGTCAGTGAGAGAGCGAGTCGGTGAGAGAGTGAGTCAGTGAGAGAGTGAGTCAGTGAGAGAGTGAGTCAGTGAGAGGGTGAGCGAGTCGGTGAGCGAGCGAGTCGGTGATAGAGCGAGTTGGTGAGAGGGCGAGTTGGTGAGAGGGTCGGTGAGAGAGTCGGTGAGAGAGCGAGTCGGTGAGAGGGCGAGTCGGTGAGAGGGCGAGTTGGTGAGAGGGTCGGTGAGAGAGTCGGTGAGAGGGCGAGTCGGTGAGAGGGCGAGTTGGTGAGCGAGTCGGTGAGCGAGCGAGTCGGTGATAGAGCGAGTTGGTGAGAGGGCGAGTCGGTGAGAGGGCGAGTTGGTGAGAGGGTCGGTGAGAGAGTCGGTGAGAGAGCGAGTCGGTGAGTGGGCGAGTCGGTGAGAGGGCGAGTCGGTGAGAGGGCGAGTTGGTGAGAGGGTCGGTGAGAGAGTCGGTGAGAGGGCGAGTCGGTGAGGGAGCGAGTTGGTGAGAGGGCGAGTTGGTGAGAGGGTCGGTGAGAGAGTCGGTGAGAGAGCGAGTCGGTGAGAGAGCGAGTTGGTGAGAGGGCGAGTCGGTGAGAGGGCGAGTTGGTGAGTGGGTCGGTGAGAGGGTCGGTGAGAGAGCGAGTCGGTGAGAGAGCGAGTCGGTGAGAGGGCAAGTCGGTGAGAGGGCGAGTCGGTGAGAGGGCGAGTCAGTGAGAGAGCGAGTCGGTGAGGGAGTGAGTCAGTGAGAGAGTGAGTCAGTGAGAGAGTGAGTCAGTGAGGGAGTGAGTCAGTGAGAGGGTGAGCGAGTCGGTGAGCGAGCGAGTCGGTGATAGAGCGAGTTGGTGAGAGGGCGAGTCGGTGAGAGGGCGAGTTGGTGAGAGGGTCGGTGAGAGAGTCGGTGAGAGTGCGAGTCGGTGAGAGAGCGAGTCGGTGAGCGAGTCGGTGAGTGAGCGAGTCGGTGAGAGAGCGAGTCGGTGAGAGGGCGAGTCGGTGAGAGGGCGAGTCAGTGAGAGAGCGAGTCGGTGAGAGAGTGAGTCGGTGAGAGAGTGAGTCAGTGAGAGAGTGAGTCAGTGAGAGAGTGAGTCAGTGAGAGAGTGAGTCAGTGAGAGGGTGAGCGAGTCGGTGAGAGAGTGAGTCGGTGATAGAGCGAGTTGGTGAGCGAGCGAGTCGGTGAGAGAGCGAGTCGGTGATAGAGCGAGTCGGTGAGCGAGCGAGTCGGTGAGAGAGTGAGTCGGTGAGAGAGCGAGTCGGTGAGAGAGCGAGTCGGTGATAGAGTGAGTTGGTGAGCGAGCGAGTCGGTGAGAGAGTCGGTGAGAGAGTGAGTCGGTGATAGAGTGAGTTGGTGAGAGGGCGAGTCGGCGATAGAGCGAGTCGGTGATAGAGCGAGTCGGTGATAGAGTGAGTTGGTGAGCGAGCGAGTCGGTGATAGAGTCGGTGAGAGAGTGAGTCGGTGATAGAGCGAGTTGGTGAGCGAGCGAGTCGGTGATAGAGCAAGTCGGTGATAGAGTGAGTTGGTGAGCGAGCGAGTCGGTGAGAGAGCGAGTCGGTGAGAGAGCGAGTCGGTGAGAGAGCGAGTCGGTGATAGAGCGAGTCGGTGATAGAGTGAGTTGGTGAGCGAGTCGGTGAGAAAGCGAGCGAGTCGGTGAGCGAGTCGGTGAGAGAGCGAGTCGGTGAGTGAGCGAGTCGGTGATCGAGCGAGTTGGTGAGTGAGCGAGTCGGTGATCGAGCGAGTCGGTGAGCGAGTCGGTGAGCGAGCGAGTCGGTGAGCGAGTCGGTGAGAGAGTCGGTGAGAGGGCGAGTCGGTGAGAGGGCGAGTCGGTGAGAGGGCGAGTTGGTGAGCGAGTCGGTGAGCGAGCGAGTCGGTGATAGAGAGAGTTGGTGAGAGGGCGAGTCGGTGAGAGGGCGAGTTGGTGAGAGGGTCGGTGAGAGAGTCGGTGAGAGAGCGAGTCGGTGAGAGGGCGAGTCGGTGAGAGGGCGAGTCGGTGAGAGGGCGAGTCGGTGAGAGGGCGAGTTGGTGAGAGGGTCGGTGAGAGAGTCGGTGAGAGAGCGAGTCGGTGAGGGAGCGAGTTGGTGAGAGGGCGAGTTGGTGAGAGGGTCGGTGAGAGCGTCGGTGAGAGAGCGAGTCGGTGAGAGGGCGAGTCGGTGAGAGGGCGAGTTGGTGAGTGGGTCGGTGAGAGGGTCGGTGAGAGAGCGAGTCGGTGAGAGAGCGAGTCGGTGAGAGGGCGAGTCGGTGAGAGGGCGAGTCGGTGAGAGGGCGAGTCAGTGAGAGGGCGAGTCGGTGAGGGAGTGAGTCAGTGAGAGAGTGAGTCAGTGAGAGAGTGAGTCAGTGAGGGAGTGAGTCAGTGAGAGGGTGAGCGAGTCGGTGAGCGAGCGAGTCGGTGATAGAGCGAGTTGGTGAGAGGGCGAGTCGGTGAGAGAGCGAGTCGGTGATAGAGCGAGTCGGTGAGAGGGTCGGTGAGAGAGTCGGTGAGAGTGCGAGTCGGTGAGAGAGCGAGTCGGTGAACGAGTCGGTGAGTGAGCGAGTCGGTGAGAGAGCGAGTCGGTGAGAGGGCGAGTCGGTGAGAGGGCGAGTCAGTGAGAGAGCGAGTCGGTGAGAGAGTGAGTCGGTGAGAGAGTGAGTCAGTGAGAGTGAGTCAGTGAGAGAGTGAGTCAGTGAGAGAGTGAGTCAGTGAGAGGGTGAGCGAGTCGGTGAGAGAGTGAGTCGGTGATAGAGCGAGTTGGTGAGCGAGCGAGTCGGTGAGAGAGCGAGTCGGTGATAGAGCGAGTCGGTGAGCGAGCGAGTCGGTGAGAGAGTGAGTCGGTGAGAGAGCGAGTCGGTGAGAGAGCGAGTCGGTGAGAGAGTGAGTTGGTGAGCGAGCGAGTCGGTGAGAGAGTCGGTGAGAGAGTGAGTCGGTGATAGAGCGAGTTGGTGAGAGGGCGAGTCGGCGATAGAGCGAGTCGGTGATAGAGCGAGTCGGTGATAGAGTGAGTTGGTGAGCGAGCGAGTCGGTGAGAGAGTCGGTGAGAGAGCGAGTCGGTGAGAGAGCGAGTCGGTGAGAGGGCGAGTCGGTGAGAGGGCGAGTTGGTGAGTGGGTCGGTGAGAGGGTCGGTGAGAGAGCGAGTCGGTGAGAGAGCGAGTCGGTGAGAGGGCAAGTCGGTGAGAGGGCGAGTCGGTGAGAGGGCGAGTCAGTGAGAGAGCGAGTCGGTGAGGGAGTGAGTCAGTGAGATAGTGAGTCAGTGAGAGAGTGAGTCAGTGAGGGAGTGAGTCAGTGAGAGGGTGAGCGAGTCGGTGAGCGAGCGAGTCGGTGATAGAGCGAGTTGGTGAGAGGGCGAGTCGGTGAGAGGGCGAGTTGGTGAGAGGGTCGGTGAGAGAGTCGGTGAGAGTGCGAGTCGGTGAGAGAGCGAGTCGGTGAGCGAGTCGGTGAGTGAGCGAGTCGGTGAGAGAGCGAGTCGGTGAGAGGGCGAGTCGGTGAGAGGGCGAGTCAGTGAGAGAGCGAGTCGGTGAGAGAGTGAGTCGGTGAGAGAGTGAGTCAGTGAGAGAGTGAGTCAGTGAGAGAGTGAGTCAGTGAGAGAGTGAGTCAGTGAGAGGGTGAGCGAGTCGGTGAGAGAGTGAGTCGGTGATAGAGCGAGTTGGTGAGCGAGCGAGTCGGTGAGAGAGCGAGTCGGTGATAGAGCGAGTCGGTGAGCGAGCGAGTCGGTGAGAGAGTGAGTCGGTGAGAGAGCGAGTCGGTGAGAGAGCGAGTCGGTGAGAGAGTGAGTTGGTGAGCGAGCGAGTCGGTGAGAGAGTCGGTGAGAGAGTGAGTCGGTGATAGAGCGAGTTGGTGAGAGGGCGAGTCGGCGATAGAGCGAGTCGGTGATAGAGCGAGTCGGTGATAGAGTGAGTTGGTGAGCGAGCGAGTCGGTGATAGAGTCGGTGAGAGAGTGAGTCGGTGATAGAGCGAGTTGGTGAGCGAGCGAGTCGGTGATAGAGCAAGTCGGTGATAGAGTGAGTTGGTGAGCGAGCGAGTCGGTGAGAGAGCGAGTCGGTGAGAGAGCGAGTCGGT